AACCTGTGCGCAATTCACGCAAAGAGAGTAACGATTATGCCAAAGGATATCCAGTTGGCTCGTCGTATTCGAGGAGAGAGAGCTTAAGTCTAGGTGGGAAAACTGCTAGCTTCTAAGCTAGTACAATCGGCCCTTTTCAGGGCCCCATATTTTTAGACTGGAATATACTTTGCCAACTATGACATTCTAATGCCATGAGACATAATGTCTGACTTATGTTTACCCGTCGATGGGTTTCTATCGTAATATAAACCCGTCGAGTGACGCCACTTGAAAATTAAATTCGCTAGACTGTATTGTAGACCTTAGGACCTGGGGTACACCCTTCATTGGTCTCTCATTTTACAGTAGCAGTTTGAAAATTATTTTAGGATCGGGACACTTCTGGTCATCACATACATTTTCACCCATGCAAGCTTACAATGAAGGTGGGCTATTGTTGCGGCACTTCCTTTGTGTTCACTAGCTAACGGATCACCCTGTAAGAAGCCAGCGATGAAAACACCTTGTCGTATTTGGTAATTTCAATATGAAGCAAGGAATACTTTTTATTCAAACATACTTTCAATGTAATGTTCCATTACAAATGGTAAACCATTGCATTTCATAAATGCAAGCACGAAGTGGTGAAATTTGATATAAATTTCAATCTTAGTTTCGTAATTTTGAGTTTGAGGGTTAAAATGAATTCAGGAAGAGCGAAACATAAATTGAATAATATAAAAGTAAACTATGTACGAGTTACTAGCAGCATATCGATTAATTTTATTCGCGTAAAATTGAAAATTTTACTGATATCCGTTGAGTTAAGAAGTTTATGTCTCGTTTCTCTGTTAATTTGTATGAATTCATTATAAACGACGAATGATTCATTTGCATCAGCTTTTGTTTATTGGATCTTCGAGTTCATAAATTGAAAATTATGTACGAATGTCAGTAAATTTCTACTTTTCTTCGAGAAACTCTCCATCGATAGGATGACAAATTGGTAGAACTACTTCGATAGAACATAGCAGATAGTACATACACGTATAATGAAATTTATATCGATGATTATATATATTTTACTATATATTTATACGCTTGTAATAATATTCCACGTTGTCGTTTCAAACTAAATGTGCATAAATGTGTGTACCAGTCCGCCGCTTCCTTGCATACTCGAAACATTTCAGATGGTCAAAATTCATTGGTCCTTCTCCATGGTCCGTGCTCGAGCTACACACGCGGCGCAGTTTCGTGGCAGCCATCTTTTTGAGGGTTTCTATTGTTCTAACTCGCTTAAAAGACAACCATTTAACTTTGCGTGTGTCGTTAATACGTTCGTGGAATTTTGCAAACATATTTTGCGTCAACTTAATCGACACTCCGTTGTAAAATGGAAAGTAAAGGAGATAGTGGGGGTACTGTAGTGGAAGCTGTAAAAGACAGTATTGTTTCGGTGAAAAAGATAGGAAAAAGCAAAGCAAAGATGCAACGCCCAAAAGTATCTCATCCGCCAACATCAGAAATGGTTAAAGCGGCTATAAAACAACTTAAGGATCGTAAAGGATCATCTCTCCAAGCCATTAAGAAGTACATTTCTGCTGCTTATAAAATTGACGGTGGAAAAATGTCCCCGTTCATTAAACGCTACTTGAAAGCAGCTTTAACATCTGGCGCTGTTTTGCAATCGAAAGGCAAAGGCGCTTCTGGATCATTTAAACTTCCCATAAATGGATCTGAAAGTAAGAGCGAGAACAGAGCTATAAAGTCTGTCGCTCGACAATCGACTTCGAAAATAGCAACTTCTCCGAAGAAAGTCTCTGTCGGAGCGAAAAAGCCAGCAGCTTTGAAGAAAAATGTTACATCTGTTTCTGCTATCAAAATGAAAACTAAAACCAAACAAATTTCCAAAATTAGAAAACCTGCGAAAGCGTTAGTCGTTAAAACTAGAACGCCAAAGCCGAAGAAAACGATTTCAACCAGAGCAAGAAAGATCCCAGCAAAGTAATTTCTTCGTTCGAGCGGATAATTCAAAACGGCCCTTTTCAGGGCCACCAACCAAATAGGATTGGGAATTCTCTCGAAGTTTTCTTGGAACATGAATTATTATCATTATATCATTATTTAATATTATGAACTACAATATATACGTATTATGTTAGATATATCAAAGAGTAATTTTTTGTTAAGTACATTAAATTGATTAAATTTTTACCAATAATATCAATCAGGCGCAAGAAAGACTAGCAAAGTAATTTCTTCAATCGACGAATAATTCAGCGGCCCTTTTCATTATTTAATATTGAACTTCAAAGTAGTCATATTATGTTAGACAGTTCAAAGAGTAATTCAGTTGTTAAGTACATTTAAATGGTTAAATTTTTACCAATAGAATGTTATTAAAACAGAGGGTTCCTTGTTTAAAATATTTGGTGGCCCTGAAAAGGGCCGTTTGTGTCGACTTTTTGAGTAGCGTTTAACCGCCAAAGCCGTACAGAGTTCTTCCTTGACGCTTCAATGCGTAGACGACATCCATAGCAGTCACAGTCTTCCTTTTGGCGTGCTCGGTGTAAGTTACAGCGTCACGAATAACGTTCTCAAGGAATACCTTCAGTACACCTCGAGTTTCTTCGTAGATCAAACCAGAAATACGCTTCACACCGCCACGACGAGCCAGACGACGGATGGCAGGCTTTGTGATACCCTGGATGTTATCACGCAGAACCTTCCTATGACGCTTTGCTCCTCCTTTTCCCAATCCTTTTCCTCCCTTTCCGCGACCAGTCATGATTCAGTTGGTATACTCGTGGTAAGCGAACGTCTGAATGCAAAACTCGAATGATGCTCTCACCGGCCGGAGTCGCGTTTTTATAGCGTGCCCGTTGCAGTACCCCCACCCGCCGGCATCCAGCCAATCAGAAGCATCCAGCGCGCGCCGTAACAGCATAAATACCGGTCTCTCTCGGCGCGAAGCTCATTTTTCGTTGTGTATTCGATACGTACTGTTCGGTTTATTTCCGTTCTATTGTATAGACACAATGGCTCGTACTAAGCAAACCGCTCGCAAATCTACCGGTGGAAAGGCTCCACGAAAACAGTTGGCAACCAAGGCTGCTCGTAAGAGTGCCCCTGCTACTGGAGGAGT